AATTGCTAAATCCATTGATGTCCTCAGGAGATCTGATGGTAGAGGAAGGAGGGATGGGTAAAGGTGATAAAGCCTGAGACCATGGGAAGGAAGAAGAGAATGAATGGCATGGAAGAGAAAGCACAGGATATTAGCTATTCTGCAAATGAAGAAATCGATATTTGAATTTGCCACTAGTGAGGCAAACCCTATAGAAGAGTGTTTCTTAAACTTTTTAAGACGGAGGAACACAGTTTAAGAAACACGGAGGTTGCCTGCCCCTTTAACTGTGCTGAGGAACACAGTTTAAGAAATACTGCTAGAGAATATCTCTCCAGATCTTCTAGTGGCTATGGAATAAAGACACACATGCTCTCGTTTCTCAAGACACCAGACAGCTTGTGCACTATAAGAACAAGACTAGTTTCTCCATACTTAGGAGAACTTGATGTGTGAGAGAGTCTCAAAGGGGTGGTGGTGTTAGTCTGTAACTGTAAAAACAACGAGTAGTCCTGTGGCACCACAGAGACTACCAAAAATATAGATCATATCATGAGCTTGCATGAGCAAAACCTACTTCTTCAGATGGGCTGATGTTGAGTGGTCTCCAGACTAACACAGCTCGATCTCCACTCAAGATCGTCTCATCTGAGGAGGTGGGTTTTGCCCATGCAAGCTCATGATACGACTACATATTTGTTAGTCTCTCAGGTGCCACAGGACTATTTGTTTTTGATGGGTGAGACGCAACAGAACGTGTGATGAGTAAGATGTGACAAACAGCAGGAAACAAGGTGGTTGAAGGTAGCTGGTAGAACAGCACTGGAAATGTCAACAAAAGGGACTGGGTTGGAAGGGTGGCAAAATAGTTATTGAAGAGCAAGCCAGGCTGGAATGTTGTGGCATCGAAGTGCTTGAGCAAGCAAACGTCCTCATTTTTAGGGAATGCAACCATGGAGCCAAATATCCAGATAGAATCCAAGAGTAGGCGAGATGCTAAATAAACTCGCACTCCCCTCCCCCAGCTCAGTGGGAAAGGACCCTTTTGGAGGAGGTGATTATCTACAAGACAGATGCGGATGATCCTGGTTTTAGTGCATTTTCAAATGTCTGACTCGTGGGGGCAGCATTCAGACAGACTTGCCCAAAGCTGCCTCCTCGCAGTCCTGGCCAGAGAGAGGCGGTGACTCATTATGAGCCAGCCACCGGGATAGGAAGCTGAGCAAAATGGGGCCCTTGGAAGGAAGAAAAGAATGCTCATGCTTCCTCAGTAACCTCCACGCTTTCTGACTGACTCTGCACTCAGCAAGAGCCTTTTTAATTGGGCTCCAGCGTGGCTTAGTAATTCCAATACAGAGAAGGGACCAAAAATATCAAGCACCATCTGGAAGTGAGCTTTGGCTAAAGTCAGTAGCGCAGATCCCTCACTGACCTGCACCCTGTGTAGTTTACTGATATCAATGCAAAGTGGTTGGAGTTTGCACGGTGTGGACCGGATTCTCCGTTAGTTGGGTCAGTCATTTTTTTCTTTTTTGGCTTACCAAATGGTCCCAATAGTACAGATGTGGTTTCTCTGCGTGACATGTTGCTGTTTCATTTACGAATTTAATGGACTCAAAGGTCAGCTAGTTTACAAATGAGTTTCACTGTGGCTGGTTCAGTACTAAAACATCCTTTGCTGTAACACCAATATTTGTAACTTCTTACAGCAATGCTCCTTACTGAATCACTAGGGTTTCCCACAGTAACCAACAGTCAAAATACACAGGGCAAGGGAAGTAGATTACTGTATTTTCTTCCTCTTTCTTAGGCCTTTAACTCACTGATACCTGCTGAGCAGACACTGGGCATAAGAAGAGCAAGCAATTGCTTAGGACTCCAAATAGGAAAATATAAGGCTGTGTCTACATTGGCACCCTTTTCCGGAAATGCTTAAAACGGAACAGTTTTCCATTATAAGTATTTCCGGAAAAAGTGCGTCTACGTTGGCAGGATGCTTTTCTGGAAAAGCACTTTTTCCGGAAAAGCGTCAGTGGCCAATGTAGACGCGCTTTTCCAGAAAAAAGCCCCGATCGTCATTTTCGCGATCGGGGCTTTTTTGCAGAAAAGACTACTGTGCTGTCTACACTGGCCCTTTTCCGGAATAGTTTTTCTGGAAAAGGACTTTTGCCCGAATGGGAGCAGCATAGTTTTTCTGGAAAAGCACTGACAATTTTACAGTAGATCGTCATTGCTTTTCCGGAAAAGCAAGCGGCCAGTGTAGACAGTTTTCAAGTTATTCCGGAAAAGCGGCTGCTTTTCTGGAATAAGTGGCCCAGGGTAGACACAGCCTAAGTGTATGGGGAGGAGAAGGCTAGTCACTTACTATTTTCATAAGAATCTGCCTGTTTTAGCATGTGAGGGAGGAGAAATATTGCTGCTTAGGGTCCCCCGAAAGGGCTGGCATTGCTATTGCTGAAAATAATAGATCGTACGTATAGCTCCTATTCCCACTTAATTCAGTGGGTTTTGCAATGGGACTGTTTACATGCTTAAAGTGTTTGGCTGGCTCAAGATCTGAATGAAGACTTATACTCTTAAAGATCAGACTAGAAGAAAGATAATTTGATAGGTAATTTTTTTTTAAATGTACATCAAAAATATTGTTGCTTAGGCTTTTAAAATCCTCTTTAAAAGCCAACCCAAATGCATGTCATGAACAAAGTATCAATGACAAATAGACGCCTCTGAAAACTGTAAATCTTCAGCATATGTAAGGAACTACTACAAAGGCACTAATTAAACTGAAGTTCCTGTTACAAGCCCCAGCTTTGGGAAATCCTGCTCTGAAGTGTTTTCAAGACCCTATTAGAGACAGCATGGTGTTTGCTGACAGTCTGAATAAAAGAATTTTTAAAATGTATTTAAAAAAAGAATCAATATAAACATTGATAAAGAGTGACGTCCGGTATTCTAAAATTACATTTTTTGTATAATGTATTGGCTTGGCAGAATTTGATTTTTTTAAAATTCTTTTGATACTTATTGTGTTTAAGCTTTTAAGATTTTTGTTCTCAATGTAAAAGTTCACACTTGGGGAGGTCAAACAATTATTTGACAACAGACATTGAAAGTCAAAAACTTAAAATTGTATAACCATTAAAACACAAACTGTCAACATCACATGCCAACGTCTACAAAGTAAATATCCTTAAATCTAACTTCAGTACATCCTCAAGTAGCATTTTTCTTACTTTGCCTATCTGTTCATTTCCATGATCAGCACTGGGAAATATTTTTGTCACTTTGTAAGTACAGTGAGATCTGCATTTTCTGAAGAAGGCCTAGTCTACACTATGCCCCTCCGTCGATTAAAGTTATGCAATTTCAACTACACGAATAGCATAGCTGAAGTCGATGTACTTAGACCTACTTATTGTGGTGTTTTCCAAGTGGTAGGGTTGGCAGATGATGCTTTCCTGTTGACTCTTCTCATCCTGGTGGAGTACTGGAGTCGATGGGAGAGTGCTTGGAAGTCAATTTATTGTGTCTAAGTAGACTTAATAAATTGATGGCCGGTGGATTGGTTGCTGCAGTGTCGATTCACCATGTAGTGGAGACGAGCCCTAAACATCTAATCCCTCCAAACCTGCACTCTCCTCTGTATAGATGAGTCTCCTGTGGGTACTCATTGACTCAGATAGGACACTGCCTGATTGCAAGATCAGAGTCTCTAGCATTATTTGCTAGAAAAATATAGAACACCCATTGTTGAGCGGGCAAAGTCATTTTGCTTAGATTACACTTACAGGAAAGTTCAGTATATTAAATATATGCAATAGAATTTTGTATTAATGTGCTTGGCAAAAAGGAAGTAAAAGAGCAGTTTTGAATTGCAGGATTTTGACTTCTAACATTACTCATTTTATCGAATTATTACCATAGACTAGGTTAAATTTGAATCACAAATATGTAAAGCTTCCATTACTCTTTCCGTAACTAATTTGAATTATTTTGTGAGTTTGTGTCAGCAAAAATGTTCTTTGAGCGAAAATGACAGTTGAATAGGTGACTCAATTTTAATTTTGTTAGCAAATATTTTATGAGCTCTAATCAAATAGTCGTGACTTCTTTCCAATGAAAAACAAAAATAATTATTTAAGCCTTTCACCCAGCATGTTTCAGTGCAAAAAAAGTAGGGCATTCAGGTAATTTAAGTGGCAGGATTGTTTATGCAAACTTTGGTTTCTGTAGGTGATCGTGAAGTATGACTTTATTTGTGCAAAATAAACACACTCTTCAGAATATGTAATACAATCAGGGCTGACTTATCCATTAGGCACAGTAGGCACAGTGCCTAGGGCCCACGATACTTTTAGGGGCCCACGAAAATGTTTTAATTTCTTTTAAAATCAGAAGAAAAAAAATGAACATTTAGGGTTGAAGAAAGTGTTTAAATTTTTTTCTCACATCAGAAAAAAATGAAACTTTTAGGGCCCATGAAACTCTTTTAAATTTTGCCTAAAAGAGGAAAAAAATAAAACGTTGAAGTATTTAAAGTTATATCAAAAATAATTTTTTATATATATTTTTTTTATGGCGGAAGGGGCCCACGAAGGCAAAAGTGCCTAGGGCCCACGAAAGTCATAATGTGGCCCTGAATACAATAGATTGTTGACAACAGATTATGTCCACTCCAGATTTAGAGGGTCCATCCTATTGCCAGTGAAGTTAATGGGAATTTGGAAATTGACTATGAGAGAAGAACTGGTCTGTATGGGCATGTCTACACAGCAGGGTACAAAGCTGAAGTTGCATAGATGAATTCCACACATCAATTGCATTCAACTGCCCTTCTTACTCATGAAATGAGGGTTACAGAAGTCTGAGTAAGAAGTCCTCCAGCTCACCATTACTTTGAAATAATGGCTTGCTGTGTAGCCACTCTGGATATTTCAGAATAACATCAGCTATTCCAAAATAAGGCAGCTGTGTAGACATAGCCTATGAAAACAGAACAAATGTGTGTAAAAATATACAGCATGTCTGATCTGTAAGTGGAAGACTTTATACCAAAAATTGAAAGAAAACAGGATCATTCCTCCCATTATTTTTACATTTTGTAAAGTTGATATCCCTGCTGGTGGGTGCTGAGAAGCAAGACACCAGACTCGTCTGGCAAGAGACATGGATTCAAATATAAAAATGTTCTCTCTCAAACTTTACCCTGAAAATGAATTTTTTTGTTCACTCACAAGCACTGTGGCCTGGGTTTAGAAAAGGGTGAGAGGGAGGAGAGGTTTGGGGCAGGATCGGTTTTTTCTCTTGTGGCAGGGAGGGTGTGGAGTCAGACACAGGGCGTCGCACCATGGAATGACAATGACTGTGCCCAGCCAGCAGTAGCTGTGGTGCCTGTGTCTCTCCAACAACCCCCCTCTCCCCCCGGTGTGTGCTCGCTCTTCAGCTTGAGCAAGACGAGAATGAAACCCTGAGCAGCGGGGCTCACAATGAAGGCAAATGACAGGCGGCGCGGCTCCTGCTGCTGCTTTGATCAATTGCAAGGCAGCCCCGGCCCTTGCGCATGCGGCTCATGACATTCAAGTTTCAGCTCTACCTGCGGCTCCATTCACCTCCTCTGAGCCTGCCCCCTTCCCGCGCTTTGCGATTAGCAATCAGATACACCACGTTCCAAACGCCCCGCCCCTCTCCCACCGGATAGGGCCTGTCGCGTTCCATCGCCGCCTACTGGAGCGTCTCATTGACTCAGCGAACCAACGAGGAGGGAGAGGGGAGAGACTTTTTTTTTCTTCAAGCGAAAAAGTCACGTGGTGGCAGCGAGCTTGTCAATCAGGGGCTTAGCTTGTGAAGCTGTTTAAAGGGCTCATTGCCCGGGACGTGGTGTTGTGTGGGCTCAGCGCTGGTGTTGAACTGTGGGTTTAATTTTTGAATCCAGCTACCAATAATGTCCGAGGTTCCTGCCTCCGCCCCCTCGGGGCATTGCAATGCTTCCTCCCTGCCAAGATCAGCGGAATCGGCCAGTGGCAGGGCAGCCAGTCCCTTCATTTGTGCAGGATGTAACCGAGCATGGGTGCTGCTGGTACCTTTAGGACGGCCAGGCTCACATACCGCCCGGCTTCAATAGTAGCCCGATTCAATAGTAGCCTGGGCCCGATTTTCCACTCGCTAGTGTTAATCAGGAGTGACCCCGCACCACTTTAGTTAGACGGGTGTAAACCTAATTTCTAGCGAGCGGTAAATCAGTCGCGCTCTGTCCTGCAGTGGCATAGCGATTGCTGCCCTCGGTCCATCACTTCGGGGTGCTGTAGCACTCCTCTTGCGGCTTCTTAGCTCGGGGGAGGTTTGGAGCCGCGCAGGCTCTGGGATGCGTTGGAGAGAACAAGGGGGCTGAGTTTTGGTTAGAGCGTGCGCAAGGCAAGGGGCAAGGCTGATTATGGCGGTAGAAAGAGGGGACGGCTTCAGGGCATGTCCCAAGAGCCCGAACAACGGGCGAGGTGCAGCAGCCGCCCCGCGAATGACCAGCGATCCCACTACTCTGCCGCGGAGGGGGCTGCGGGCTGTGAGCGCTAGAGTCACCCGAGTAACCGGGCGAGGTGCCCGTTCATCCCTCCCGCCCTTTGGTGGAGCAGCCAGTTTATTTTCCTGTCCGCGCTTAAGGCTGAAAATCTCCTCTTAGGCTCCAGGGGGTCCCCTACTGCCGATCCGCCGCCTCCCGGAGCCCGGCGCCTTCCCCATGCGGGGGAGAGAGCGGGTGGAACAAGCTCGAGGCTCGCTCCTGGGCCAGGCACTCGCTCGCAGCGGGCTGGAAACGCCTCGCCTCGCCTCCCCTCCAGGCTCCCCCGCGCTGCAGCTATTCTGGAGCCGCGTGGTTGCCGCGGAGGGCGGGGGACCCCGGGGGGCGGTTTCCACAAGGCGGAGA